ATAACACATTTGGGTGCTTTCTGTGTTCGCTGACTAGTACAATCTCTGAATACATGTCACTTAGTCAGCTGCAACTTAGAACTTCGTACGTACGTACATCAGTTCAAGTTGCCATTACCACATTAACACAGAGATTCAATTTTCGATTCAAATCACATAGTGGTAGATTTAGTAGAAGTATGTATGAGCAGTAATCAGAAAGATTAGGGTTCGAAGATATGGTTCAAGAAGTAGAATTTAGTGAAAGAAACTTGAAAAAAAGAAAGATAAAGATGAAGACAAATCCACAGGATTAGGATTTGAGACAACACAGTGAATGAATACACCTGCATCATTGCGAACGGTTTTGAGCTATGTCATTCAACGTCTCTAACCATCGATTACTATCGTCTCGCCGACTCCAACCAGGTAGTTTACACCTACCAACAAGATTAAGTTAAGTTGACACTGACTTCATCAATGAGTCACGTTTCAGTTTGGCCGCCCCTAGTTTTCTTCTAACCTACTCCTACATCGCAAAACATAGCTCGAAGAGGCAGTCGGTGGCTAGACATGAAGTTTCAATACTTCATCAGTTGCATCGGCGCCATTGCGAACAGTTTTGAGCCATGTCACGCAAGGTCTCTAACCAACGATTATTATCATCTCGCGGACCTCAATTAGGTAGTCAACAACTACGAACATGACTCAGTCCACTCGTCGTCAATGACTTCATGGATTTCTGTCATGTTTTGGTCTAACGACTTGCACAATCAATACGAGTAAATTATCTAAATGTGAAGACTAAAAGACAGCCACTAATCTGTTTGTATTTTCAATGAATGTGTTCACATTAGGTGTACATAGTTTGTGAATAATAATATTAATACATAAACTGTGTCTTCTGTGGTCTGAACATTGGTGAGTGAGTGATCGATTGACAGGTTTGCATATAAAACCTGTCAACTTATTCTCTCTCACCAATGTTGTAAACAATGAGTTTGTTTATTAATATCAGTAATCGATTGCATATTTCGGTGAAATTATCGACTACTGATTGCAATTGAAATACATACTACTTGCATGAATGTTGAAGAGGGACAGCATGTACGTGTGCGTGTGTGTTGTTGTTGTGGTTGAAAATGGCTGGCTTGTCATTTATCTAGTACACACACACAACCTAACAATTAGGCATAAATGTTGAATTGATTTACTGTACTGTACTGGGGTGTTTGTTTGATTTCTTGTTTAATCTGAACAACATTCCAATATTCATTACATACATAATGTGTGGTGGTGTTTCGTTCTCTGAGCCGGGTGTTTTGGTTGTGGAGCCTTTCATTGTTCGCCTTCTGAACAACATCATCAGCACAAATTTCAGATAGAGAAGTGAAGCATTCGAATTTCTCCACGTTTGACCTGTAGCTTGTTCTGCTAACCTTGATCTTGATTGGTTGCTGTTGACCTTAAATCTGTCGTTGTTTGCAACTTTGTTTTGATTGCATCCTCCTTTTGATCTGTTTCTTGATCCTGTGTCACCTATGATTTTTCTGATTGGTTGATAAATTGGGTCAATGTCGATGTGTTTGTTGATTGCTGATTGACCTGAGTGCCAAGCTTCTAAAAATTCTTGATAAATTCGAAAACAGTACATGCTGGTAGGATCGGTGATAGTGAATTGGTAACTTAACTACCTTTCAATGCTCAATACTGTATGCGCATTGCTTAGCTTATGCCTGTTTGTTTGAAACGTGAATCCTGTGTGTATGCTAAGAGAATGAATTCCACTAAGAATCGATCTTATATTTGTAGCTTTAAATTTTGTCTGATTTGTTATGTTCGGTTGGATAAGTTGGGATGCGTCACTGTGGTGCAATCATAGAAGACATGTTTAGATAGATTTTAGTTGATGAAAATGAATTCTATGATGAAAACGACATTCTTATCCAGAGAACTGATACACGAGATAGACTATGGAGAAAATACTCAACAATGCTAGATATTGCACTGCTATATTCGACGATCTGGACTTCGCAGATGACCTGGCTCTTCTATCGCACACGTAACAACAAATGCAAGAGAAGACAACCAGTATAGCATCAGCCTGTGCAGCAGCAGTAGGTCTCAACATACATAAAGGAAAAAGCGAAATTCTCCGATGCAACACAACATGCACCAACCAAATCACTCTTGATGGAGATTCCTTGGAGGACGTTAACACCTTTACATATCTGGGCAACGTCATCGACAGCCAAGGTGGATCCGATGCAGATGTGAGCGCATGGATTGGCAAAGCAAGGGCTTCATTTCTACAGTTGAAAAATATCTGCGACTCAAAACAACTTTTAATCAAAACCTAAATCAGGATAGTTCTACTGTATGGAGCGGAAACTTAGACAAATACCAAAGCTATCATCCAGAAGATTCATGTTTTAATCAACAGTTGTCAACGCAATATACTTCGAATCCGTTGATCAGACACCACCAACATCGACCCACTGAAGAAGAGAACAAACCAGATTCCAGTGGAGGAGGAAATCAGGAAGAAACGGTGGAAGTGGATAGGACACACACTACGAAAAGCACCTCACTGCGTCACAAGACAAGCCTTCACATGGCACCCTGAAGGCAAAAGGCAAAGAGGAAGGCCAAGGAACACATTACGCCGAGAAATAGAGAAAGACATGCGAAGAGTGAATAAAAACGTTGGGAAGAACTGGAAAGGGAAGCCCAGGACAGAGTTGGTTGGAGAAAACTGGTCGGTGGCCTATGCTCCATTGGGGGTAACGGGCGAAATTAAGTAAGTAAGTATGATTTTCTGATTAACTGATGGACTACTTTTGTATGATTGATTATTCCTAATCTATACCTAGTTTATTACTTACAGTCTCGCCTATTCACAGCCAGCCATAATTTGGATCTCTCAAGTATCAATGTATTTTTTGCGCAGTGGTTTGATGTGTTTTGGCATATAAACTATGTCTACCTGAAATTTTGTGTAGGTTGACTTACGAAACCACGGACTTAAGAGGTAGGGTAGAAAGACAGAGAAAGAGAAGCTATCGAGTAGCGGATCAATAAGGACTTGGAGCTGACTCGCGGTTTTCAAGTGGTAAAATGTAATAGTGATTGATGTTTTGTATTTGTCACCAAATATTAGTCAACGATAGATGACCGATAGAACACCTACATATTTGTAAACATAACTGGAGGTTAGATAAATGTATCTATCACCTTATCTTTTCTTTATATAGTTACATTTATCAATGAAAGTCATAACTCTCTCAAACTTCAAATGCATGATAAAACATCGTTAGCTGAATCAGTCAGTCAGTCGGTAAAGTTGATCTGGTGTACTGTTACAAGTAGGAGGGGGGATATCACTTATTGGCTGACAGCACTGTAGAAGGGTGATTTTGTAAGGAATCTGAATTGAGTTAGCGTTGGTCTTAGTGACCTGGGAGCGTCATCGCAGAATCCAAGGGACAACTGCTTGAGGCTGATCACACACACGGCCTTTTTATTGGAAATTGCTGAGGTGCTAGCTCAGCTCTTCAAAAGGCTTTACCGCCGGAGACGAAAATCCGTGGGGTAAGGTGAGGTGTGACATTTTGAGAGTCAAACTTTTCTAACCCCTCACTTCCATGTGAGAAGGCAACATCGCTGCAGATGCTGGTGGTCCGAAAGAAACACATCTTACCGTTGTGACATACCGCTACAGCCAGAAGTACAACTTCGTCCTCAGACCTTGAGTTGCTGCTTTTAGTCTCATCGTTCTCCAATCGACTAGCCTGACATAGTGAGAAGACTGAGGCAGGCGCGATATATTGTATTTAGCAAATTTACACTCTTAGTCAATTAAAAACGAAAACATTACATTGAACACTCTATTTGCACACCATCTTTGAGTCCTGACTTCCAACGCTCCAGCCTTCTTCCATTCCTGCTGTTGCTTCCTTTACTTCCTGTTGGTACTCCATTTACTTCTTGCTTTTGCTCCATTTGCTTTCCGTTTTCCTCTTCTGACCGTGAGACTTCTTCTTTCACGTCCATTCTTATACTACTTATATCGTTCGTATAAGTAGCACACACCACAATGTGACAATCTACAGGAACATATATTCCAGGCAATATAGCTCAGTTGGATCATCACGACAGGCAAACCCAACCCACCACGTCAAGGCAGCAAGCTACAGTCGGGATCTTTAGCTGATGTTGATCGCATAGAATAAGAATACTATAATATCGTACGGAATTATTATATGACTTTACAAAACATAATATTCAGACGTTAATAATAATAATAATAATAATAATAATAATAATAATAGTTATAAAGTAGATTATTACCTGACCCAAAATTAAATCCAATAAGGCGATTTCTGGAACACCTTCAATAGAACTAGACTCTAGTTGAGTACTATTCATATGAATTGATATGAGTTTCATGACATCTTCACCTAATCTACCTATTATTAGATAAAAAAAGAACATGTGAATTTTTTTCGGATTAAACAATCAATTTATAGAATGTTTGACAATAAAATAAAAGATTTCTTTACACAGAAACAAGGTAATTAGCTAACAATGCTGTTGTACCCGACCGTAGCTGCTACTTTGACGTGTTAGTGGTCGGGCTTGACTATCGTGATGACCCAACTGAGCTATATTGGCTGGAACATATGTTCCTGTAGGCTCTACCATGTCAGGTAGGTCGATTGGAGAACGACGTGACTAAAAGCAGCAACTCAAGCTCTGAGGTCGAAGTCGAACTGCTGACTGACGAGGGGTGTGACAGCAGTAAGGTGATTCCCTCAGAAAACCAGCATCTTCAGCAATGCTGCCTTCTCACAAGGAACGAAGGGTTAGAAAAGGTCGACCATAAAAATGTCACACCTCACCCTACCTCACGGATTTCAGTCTCCGGTGGTAAGGGTGTCTGTCCACTAAGGGCTTTCAAGAGCGGAGCTAACACTCAAAAATCCTTTCATAAAAAGGCCGTGCGTGACCGGCCTCAAGCAGTTGTCCCTTGGACTCTGCGGTCACGCTCCCAGGTCTCCAAGACCAACACTAATCTATCTTTCTTTTCAGGTCCCTCAAGAAACAACCTTCCACGGTGTGGGCAGCCGGGAAGTGACAACCGCCCTCATACCCGTAACAGCACGAGAGATCAAATTGGTCGAAATCAAATCCTTCCTACACTGACTGTATGCTGCTCTAAGGATACGGGTAATAAATAAGGATGGTAGATCAATAGATAAAGTAGTGAAACTTGGTTAGTTGAGGTGGTTGAGACATGTGTTATGAATGCCTAACCACGGACTGCCTCGTTGAGCTATGTTTTATGTTGTAGGAGTAGGTTGAAAGAAAGTTAGGGGCGGTCAAACCAAAACATGGCAGAAATTCATGAAGTCACTGACAAGTGGACTGAGTCACGTTGGTAGATGTAGGCTACCTGGTTGGGGTCCGCGAGACGAAAGTCACCGATGGTTAGAGACCTTGAATGACATGGCTCAAAATCGTTTGCAATGGTGTAGATGCATCCATACTTTGCATTCTACATCACCCTAATCTTCTCCATTACCGCTAATACTTCTACTAACTCTACCACTGGTATTTGAATTGACAATTGCATCTCTATACTAAAGTGGCATGACAACTTGAAGTGATGTACGTACACGTACGTACAAAGTTCTACGTTGTAGCTGACTGACTGTATTAGCTAAATCAAAGTAAATGAAGCGGGGTTGAGTGAAAAATTAAACACATTACCCACTAGATTAATGACTTTTGTAAAATTTATGGTTAGGCGTTCGCGTACAAGACCGAAGGTCCTGGGCTCGAATCCTGCGGGGTGCAGGAGTCATGGATGCGCACTGCCACTAATGAGTCCCATACCAGAACGAAACGGCCATCTCTCAGTGCTTCCAGGTTTCTAATGGTGGTCTAACATTGATCGATTCATGGTTTCCAAAATGTGTAACTTAACAATCTTCACAACCCTCTAATGACTCCTGAATCCAGCTGACAACTTCATGAAGCCCGTCATATATGCACTTTTGAGAGAAATCTATGATGCCTCATTACCTTGGTACTTTAAATGACTTTACGTGGTTAACGGATGTCTGTGAGTCAAAGTGAGATGTGATAATTTTAAGGCAAATCATTTCATTGTGACAAGCTAGCATTTTTTTGTAAATGCTGATTTTATAAGGGAAACATTACTGTTGTCACTTTCTTGTACAATCAGTAGTATAACTTTGTTTCCGGATCTTATGACTGGTGCTTTTAGCCCTACTACTATTCAGTTGATATCTAAAACATAGATAAGGGAAAATACCCAGATTGAATCATTATGATAAGTAAGGATCATCACTGCATAAGTCGAGGCAGCAACTGCAATCGTGATACAACGGCACACAATAAACGGCTCAATAGGGTAACAACTATGATGTTGGTGACATGAAATTGGACACTTGTTTCACCCTGGTGCAGGGAACTCTTAACAGTCCTCAACCAATGATCGTGTGGGTGCTTTGTTCTCTCAGCGGGATGTTTCAGTTGTGGAGCTTTCATTATTCATTATTCTGAACACAAAATCATTAGCACAAACTTCAAATAGAAATGAAGCTCCACAACTGAAACATCCCGCTGAGAGAACAAAGCACCCACAATCATCCGCATGAGCTATGAATTTTCTCCATTATTGGCAGTTAGAAATTCGGTATATCAGTTTGAGTAATTTCGAAATATTGCCAGTTATTTCACATATATACCACTAAATTTATATTGGAGTAGAAGTTAACTACATGAAAATGGTTTACTGCTACTGATGCTACAATTCACTCATTCCCGACAGAAAACGAGAAGATCACATGCATATACTTACTTGTCAGAAGTATGTGGTGAAAATCTCTTGGACGGAAACAAAAGCAACTGTTTAAGCAGTCAGTCAGTCAGTTGCAACGTAAGAACTTCGTACGTATGTACATAAGTTCATGTTGCCATACCACATTAGCACACAGAGACGCAAATGTCAAATCAAATCCCATAGTGATAAAGATAGTAGAGGTATTAATGGTAATGAAGAAGACTAGGGTTCGAAGATATTATTCAAGAAGTATAATTCAGTGAGATAAGGTTAGAAAGACAAAGGTAGAGGTGCTGACCAATCCAGAAGATTAGGATTTGAGAGAACACAAAGAGTGGATGCATCTGCGCCATTGCAAACGATTTTGAGCCATGTCGTTCAAAGTCTCTAACCATTGATGACTGTCGTCTCGTGGATTCTGTTTAAGCAGAAACTACTTGTTGTTTATGACATGGTTTGAAAAAACTCCGCCAGGATCGCTTCTGGGGTTACTGCTGATTCCAAGGTCGAATAAAAGAGGAGGGTAGGACATGTGGTTAGCTAAAAAACGCTGAGCAAAAAAAAATCCTCAAGACTAAAGGAAAAGAGAATGGAAGATATTCATCAAAGGAATGAACAACAATTCGATAGAACTGGAAAGGAAGGTTGAGAATAGAGTAGGTTGGAGAATACTGGGGGGTAATAATATATGTGGACCCTATATATTTAGGTTTGTAAAATATATTACTTATATTGTTGGCAGTAGTAAAAATATCCTATGATTTCATTTGAATCAGCGAAGAAAACTTAACAGTAATTTCAAACTAAATGCTATAAAACAAGAAGCTCTTCATATTATTGTTCAAAGAAATACTATTAACATGATATTAATGTAACAACTAGTCTACCCTATAGATATTCTATTAAAAACTTGATCAGGGATTTGATTGAGACCAACTTGGTCTCGTGTGTTGTTACGGGTATGAGGACGGGTGTCATTTCCCGGTTGTACAGACCCTGGAAGGGTGTTTCTTGATGACCCTGCAAAGGAAGTTCGATTGGTTTTAATCTTATAAACTTGAGAGCGTCATCGTGGAACCCAAAAGACTACTGCTTGAGGTCGGTCGTGCATGGGCTTTTTATGGGTAGTTTTTAAAGTGTTGGCTCCGCTATTACCGCCGGAGATGGAAATCTGTGAGGTAAGATGAGGTGTGAAACTCTAAGGGTCGACGTTTCCTAACCGTTTTCTTTGTGACAAGGCAACATCGCTGCAGATGCTGATTGTTCGAGAGAAACCCCTTACTGCTGTCACACCCCTCTACAGTCAGCAGTACGACTTCACCCTCAGACCTTGAGTTGCTGCATTTAGTATCACCGTTCTACAATCGACCTGCCTGGAATAAAAGCACCTAAAGGAACATATGTCCTAGGCAACAATATAACGCAGCTGAGTGGTCATGATAAGCAAGCCCGGCCACCACCACATCAAAGTAGCAGCCACGGTCGGGCAAGAGACTTGATAATACAATACAACAATCTATTTAGAACTATGCTGAAGAAAAAGAACGAAAAATGAATATACGCACTCTCTCTCCCTCTCTCTCTCACCATTTTTAATCGTTGGTAATCTTTCTTTTAAAATATGTCGTAATTTCGTTACTTGACTTTCCCAATTTGGATGAGCAACAACAGTATCATATTCATCCCAATGGTAATAACCTTGATTCATACGTTGGAACAGGGGGGATCCACCAGCGTCATAAGCACCAGCTGCTATATATGCCTCTCGATCATCTGAATCCTAAAAGCAATAATAATAATAATAATAGTGATCATAACAGAACTAATGAAAGTTGTATACAACAAAAATATTATGTATATACACACTGAAATCGAGAATGTATCGCTGTTAGACCACGGATTAGATAATTGGAAGCACTGGACAGCCGATTCATCCTGGTATGGGACTTACATCAGCAATGAGCATGTGCGACTTCAGCTACTCACAGGATTCAGATTCAGGGCCTTCGGTCTTGCATGCGAACGCCTAACCTCTGGGACCGAATGGTGTTAATGCGTAACTCTGATCAATCTAAAGATTTCGTTGACGAGTCCCATATCAGGATGGAACGGTCGTTTCGTTCTTTCAGGTTTCTAACTGTTAGGATATTCATCCAATATCCTAAGAGAATTATTGGTCAATTCCTATTGGTTAATTCCTACTGGTCAATTTTATGGTCGTCCTAGTAGATATCAATGTCACGTGCTCCAATGCTGTTTCTTATTGGTTGTCCTGACTATCAATGTCACGTACACCAATGTTGTTTCTTATTGGTCGTCCTGGCTGTCAACGTCACAGACTTCGATGTTGTTTCCTATTCGACCTAAATGTATAAATACGCATTATGTGTAACGTTTTATGACCAGGACCAAGACCCGGTCCCGTATCCCTAATCCGGGATCCTGATTCTCTTCTGGACTCGGACCTCGTACTTTCTGGATGCTTGTAGAATACAGGTTCTACTTCATATCAAGTCTTTTCTTCTTTTACTCAATATGGGGGTTGGGATAATCGGATTTGAGTAGCACGTCGTGTCACCGGATCCTCGATCCTCGCTCTCGTTTTCCGACTAGGTAAACTCGTAATAGTTCAAGCATATCGAAATGACGTGTTTACGTGCAGGCGTAACACTAATGGTGGGTTCTAACCAATAAAATTAAAATTGAAATATAATTACATGCGATTTCATGGTCAGAACGCTTATTTCAGTACCTAATCGACACGTAGAATAAGTTTACAACGGATTATAAGGAGGACGTCATAGATGAGCGGCTACAACACAATGGATTATTAAGAAGCCTCATTGTTTATAATTGTAGTGTTAAGATGACTGCTGGACTACTTTAACGACTTTCTAAAATATGTTGGAGAAGTAAAGCTGCAAGAATAGAGATACTTTTTGCCCGATTTCAATAAACAGCTTTGGCGGTTCAATGTTACGAATACTGCAGAGATATATACGTAGTAAAGATGACAGGGTTGAATCAACCGTTTTGAAGAGTTAAACGAATTGTGGAAATCGATGGGATAGTGGTTAGAAAATGAATATTTAATAGAGGAAAAAGTATGCGAGAAGACTGGATATGTAGCAGCTTCTCAGATGAACTCAGCGAATCTGTGGTGTTTATGATTGATCATAGCAAAAAACGGAATTCACATGAAGTCCAAAACCGACAGGCTATGACACTGATACCAATCATATGACAGTATGTACAGCTTGGTACTTCAATATGCACTGACTACTGGAAGGCATAGAGATGTCTACTGATATTTGATTACATCCATCGTGTCATCGTTCACAGGAGACATTCCATAGACCGCATCACAGGCGTGTAGACTAACAACAGAGAAGCCATATGGTGAAGGCTAAGGAAGTTTATTAGATTTTATCATGGCTCCATAGGTGAGCTTTTGTGAAGTCACATGGATCAATTCTTGTACCGTATGCATTACGATTTCAGAATTGGAGATCCTCTTTTGAATCTGAGCAAGTTTTTAAAGCTTGTGTTAAGGAAAGTTTATCCATTCTAACTTTCTGGTTTTATGTAATGAATTCTTATTTTATATCAACTATTTGCTGATTGGATGAAATTTATCAAGGTCATTTGAATTACGTCCAAAGGTCGTTCAAAAATTGTAGTCTCACTGTTTATGTAGTTTGTGTGGTTGCCAGTCAGTCAGGTGCAACGTAGAATTTCTTACGTAAGTACATCAGTTCATGTTGCCATACCACGACGTCAGCACAGAGAGATGTAGTTGTCAATTCAAATCCAATAGTAGTAGAGGTAGTGTGGTGCTGTGATGCGAACTACTTATAAGTAGTATATAACGTGAGTGTCAACGTAAAGTCTGGTAGCATAATATGGGGGGAAGATCAAGAAAGGAAGAGTTAGAAAACAATGGAATTTGTATGAAACGCATGAATAGTGAGTGACAATGGATTGATGTTTGGCAACAGGAACAGTCCAGTTCCATAGGATGAACTGATCTTTTGCAAATGAACGATTTACGATATGGTTTTCCGATTTTACTGAGTAACTCTGTAATTTTCGTTAAATACAATTCGGTTGCCCCACCTGTGTTCTCATTCACTACAGAGGTAGTAAAGGTATTAGCAGTAGTCGGAGAGGTTAGGATTAGAAGATATTATTCAAGAAGTATGATTCAGTGAGATAAGTTTATTAAGACAAAACTAGAGGTGTTGAAGAACCCAGAAGATTAGGATTTGAGAGAGCACAGAGAATAAATGCACCGGAGCCACTGCGAACGGTTTTGAGCCATGTCATTCAGGGTATCTAACTATCGATTATTATCATCTCGCGGACCCCAATCATCTTGCGTGGTTGTACAAACTCTGTTTGAACACAATGATGCGGTATGGTGGATCGGATGTCGCAGCCATTAAATGACGAGTAAGTAACTAAATATAATTCATTTTACCTAGTTGTAAATAATAGTGTTGAGGAATTGTCCAATTGTACGCTCAATGTAGTACAGCTCCCTTGTATACATATTTAGTTATACCACACTTAAGCATCTGTACAAATGAGGCACCTAAATATTAATGCATCACACAAATTAATGAACTTATGAGAGGGCTAAGATACTACCTGAACACCTAAACTGAAACAAGTGGCTTTCTTAAGGGGCCAAACCCTGAGCCTTTGACTCAAATGTCTAATCGTCAAGGTAGTGGAGCAACGTAATGCGATTCAGTCTCATGGAAGCAACTCAACAACAATGGATTCATACACCATTCGTTCCAACAGTATACTAGAGCCGATATACACCACTGGTTTGGAATAAGAGTTTTCCAACCCTTATAGGTGGGTTCTCCGTACCAACCGATTTGGCTTAAGTTCTGACCAAACAATAACTTTTCGATTTCTCAATTTCGTGAAAAATACCTTTGCCACAAGAAGGCAGTACGTAGGATTTCTGTGTTAGACCTAGTCATATGAGGGCATTTAGAGAGCGGACTATTTTCACTCGACCGTACCACGGCATTTGGGAGCAGCTCTCCTATGGGACTAGTCAAAAGAATACTACGGCTTACTATCATATATAGATAATTTCTAACACAAAACTATTTAGAACTCGTCACCTGGATGTACTTGTATCTCAAGGTTGTTGTTCACTCCGGGACTCGGACCTAGGACCGTTTACCTGAAATGCCACCGAGTTATCCACTAAGCTACAGAGCTTAGATAGCCACTTACTTTTGTAACGCATATGAGACTCAATTCAAAATATCAAGAAAGGAATCACCCAAACCACTCCAAGCTAAATTAAACTAGTTCATGTACGAGATCTGTCGATCGATCGATCGACGGCTACCTACCTACGAGATCGGATTACTAAAATGTCAACTCTTAAATAACTTGAGATTAAGTCTAAGAAAAACAAATCATTTAGTAAATAAACAATTAGATAGCATTAAAAAAAATCACAGGTAATTCACTCTTCCAACTTACTTGACATAAAGCCAATACACGACGTTTAGGCATAAAATCCAATAAATTTGGTAAGACAAGATTGGTTTCAAATTTCGGAATGAATTTCGTTTTTTTCTTAGTACACATATTTAGTGTAACCTGTGTTTGTGTGTGTAAATCCAACAGAATGCAGAAAATAATTCAGTCATGTGAAAAAAAATACAGAATAAGATTATTGTATATAAAATAAGGAGGTAATGTATCTCATAGTTATCAAGTGTACATGTTTGCTATTTGTATTCAACTATGAATTCTATTCTTCTATATATGATCAAATTTAGAATAATACTAACTGGTTATTTCAAAATTGATGTAAGGTAGATTGGGAAGCGGGGATTCGTACCTGTCTATAGAAACCGTTTTATTCATTGTAGAGATTAATCATTGTTAGACCACCTTTTAGAAACCTGGAAACACTGGATGGCCATTTCCTCCTAGTATGAGACTTTTCAGAGGCAGTACGCATCCACAATGTACTCACTAAGGACTAAGCTCCTGAGAAAATTCTCGGAGTTCTAGTGCGAAGTCATGACCGATAGAATCCAACTCTGTCAGGTGTAGACAGTTACCTACAGAAGACAGTTGGTGAAGTTGTACAAATGCCTTGAAATGATTGAAGTTAGACATTAACATCATTGGATTCCGTCCTCTAGAGGTTAAGCGGTTGAGCACGAGATCGAAGGTCCTCGGTTCGATTCTCGCGAGCGGGAATCATGGACGTGCACTGCTAATGAGTCTCATACCAGGACGAAATGGCTGTTAAATGCTTCGAGATTTCTAAAGGTTGTCTTGCAATGACTGATTCATGATTTCAATGATTTGTTTTAGCCACTTAGCCCCCACACCAAAGGATAAAAAGTGAGATTAAGAATACAATTATATTAAAAGTCAATATATATATATTTTTAAACTGAGTGCCGATTTTATCCCAATTGGGGAAAATGTCAACCTGCAAAATTCAAAAAAATTACTGGTTATAAGAGCATGAATTTGGTCAGTCAATCAGTCAGTTAAAACGTAGAACTTCGTACATCAGTACATAAGTTCAGGTTACCATACTACATTGGTACAGAGACGCAACTGTCCGTCCAAATCCCATAATGGTAGTGATAGTAAAGGGATTAGCAGTAATCGGAGAGATTAGGGCTCGAAGATATTATTCAAGAAGAAGAATCTAGTGAAATAAACTTAAAACGAGAAAGATAAAAATGAATAATCCAGAGGATTAAGATTTGACAGGACACAAGGAACGAATGCACCTGAGCCATTGTAAACGGTTTTGAGCCATGTCATTCAGGGTCTCTAACCATTGATTAATATCATCTCGCGGGCCCCAACCACGTAGTCTACACCTACCAACACAGCTCAGTCAGTCCACTTGTCAGTGACTTCATGGATCTCTGTCATGTTTTGGTTTGGCCGCCACTAGCTTTCTCGCAACCTACTCCTTCACCACTCGCCACCGCAGTCGGCGGTTGGGCATACGTAACACATGCCTCAACCACCTCAACTGATAGAGTTTCAATACTTTATCTAGTTATTTGTCATCCCTACCTAGTACCCGTAACAGCACGTGAAT